GTTTTTAACTCTCCAGGGTTTGAATTTCACTTCAGGATATCCTGCTGCTAGTCTGTCTCTTTCATCTGAAATCGCTTCCAAATGTGAAGCTTGGTCACTGATTCCCTATAAACTGTAAGAGAAATTATATTCTCTGCATATGAAAAATATATGTGTTATGGCTCCTGGCACATTTGAAGTCTTAAAAGTATGGATCCCTGACATAGCTGAAAGAATCATGTTAAAAGTAAAGAGGAAAATGAAATCACAATATCTTTGCTATATGGAAAATTCTGTTCCATTTCTCTTCACAAATATTTGTTTAATCTTATGTTAAAACAGTATAAAAGTGTCTAAGAACTCTGGAGTTAGAAGAAGGTCTTCTTCAAGAGGCTTTACCTGTATAGATGTGTCATAGCATTTCCATTAGGATTTGCAACACAATGAAATATGATCCCAAACACCCATTATTATTTCTGGGGGACTCAAAATGAAGAAATGCTGGTTTCAACTCTGGGTCAGGCTGCTATGTTGGTAGGGCTTCAACCAGCAATAATTTGCCAATATCCTTCCCATTATCTTCCACTGCCACCCTACTGCTATAAATGCCCCTGAAATTATAATTTTTACCACAGGATTCAACTAAGCCAGGAGCATTTAGCCACAAGAGCTCATCAGATAAGAACAAGCAGGAGAGCAGGGTGACTGGCAGTTTACTAGCTGCCAGTATTGTGCTGAGAACCTGACTTTTAATCTCATTTAGGCTAGCTTGATAGGGTAGGTGCTAGAATGCAGATCTTATTTTACAGACAAAGGCACCTGGGAGTTCAGAGAGGTCAAGAAATAACCTACGTAAATAAGACAACCATCGGAAGGGAGGACACTAGAATTCAGATACAGTTAATGTGGCACAAAGTCCCTATTTCGCTATCTCTATCTAAATAAATAAAAAACTGGAAATATTGAAAGTAAAAACACATTATGTTATGGTTTGGATAGGAAGTGACCCCCCAATGATTCATGTATTGAAGGTTTGTTTGGTCCCCAAGTTCAGATGGGGATTTAGGGAAATAATTGGATCATAGGGCTCTGATCTCATCAGTGGATTAATCATCGATAGCTGGATGAATTACTGGGAGGTGAAGGCTGTGGGAAGGGGACCTAGTTGCAGGGAGTGGGTCCTTGGGGTCATGCCCTTGCACCCACCCCTGGGGCTTCCTGGCTGCATAAGGTGAACAGCTTTGCCCTTCAGGCCTCAACTCAGATCCAAAGTAATGAAGCCAGCCAGCCATGTCTGAAACTGTGAGCCAAATAAATCTTTCCTCTTTTAAGTTGTTTTTCTCGGGTATTTGTCACAGGGATACAAAGCTAACTCACACATAAATTTCCTTACCTAATATACAGGCAGCTGACTTTGTAGTCTTTAATGTAACCATTTAGAGGAAATCTGTTGTCTATTTTAATCTTATTATCCATTTTATAGAACTACATCTAAAAAGAAGGAAACCTATTATTGCATGTGTCCAATTTTCCATTCAGAAAGCATGATGATTTGAGAACATCTGAACTCATTTCTCCCCCTGGACAACTTTCAGAGAATGTTCTCTGAATAACTGGAATCACAGCAACCCTGGGGATAATGTCTCCTACCAATGCAGAGGTTCAGGTGGCCTGGACCAGGGCTACTTCAGAGAATTTCAAGACAACACCATCGGGCTGGGAGCGTGGGTTAGTGGTACAGCATTTGCCTCATATGCGTGAGACCCTGGGTTCGATCCTCAGCACCACATAGAATAAATAAGTGAAATAAAAGTATTGTGTCCAACTACAACTAATAAATAAATAAATAAATAAATAAATAAATAAATAAAAGACAACACCATCAAGATTTCATGACCCTTAATAATGAAGATAATGGCAAAGTTTACTTTGCCCGTCTGATAAAACAATCGGAAAGATAAGATGAAGGTTATTAAAGATTAAGGGAAAAGTCTTTACAGCTGCTTATAACATGACATCCTAAAGATAGTGTTTTGCTCACCCAAGTATTTCAGTTTTTAAAAACAATCACTTTAAGAGAGTCAGACATAACAGAAATTCACTACAACTGGGTTTTAACACCTCTATTCCAAGGAGGCCCAGGAGGGCTTCCAAGTTTCACCATGCTCAGAATAAGCAAACAAAGAAAAACAAAATTCATGGTCTTAAGTGACCCATGAACCCAGAGAATAAGGATCATGAGGCAGACATCTGCCCATCTACCCTCTATGTAACTGCATATCTTTTTAAAACCTGCCACAAAAATTTAACCATGGGTGTGCATCCTGCACATGTGCACCTACACAGGCACATTTGTGAATAAAACATATCAAGGGGTCAGCTCTCCGACAGGGACAGCTCCTAGTAGAAGACATTTATATTTTTAGAAGCTGCCTTATAGCACCTGAGATAAAATACACATCTTCCCCAGTGTCATCCACCAAACTGGGAAAATGTGATACTAATTTCAACCTCCTGAGACAAGTCTTTGAATTGTCCTGGTAATAAAAAAAATACTATTTAGCAGAAAGCTAAGAATTTCCAATTATTTTTCAATTTATAGAATACATTCATTCATGAAGAAATCATTTTTCACCTTTGAAATAAGTTACATTCTGATATAACCAATATGACATAGAAAAATCTGGATGGCTCATTGATCTCAAAGAATACTATTTATATTAAACTTCTGGCACAAGAATAGATAAGGGGTAGTTTTCTTTTAGGTATGTGGGACAGGGAGAGGTAGTAGATTTTGACATGTATGCGGTATTTGTAGATTTCTGCTCCTACTCCTGTGAGGCCCTGTGGAAGCCCATGTGATCTCCTAATACCTCGGGACTGGTTTGTTTTCAGTCATATAAAAATAGTTAACAAAGAAACTGGTGCTGAATCAATTAGAATGATCTAACCATTACTTTTAAACTAACTGGATTTAACAGAAAGTAAAGTGTAGGCAGGCACCCTTGTGTTTCTAAATGAATGGGTCTCCTGAGTAGATTTCTTGTGTATTACTTTACTTGATTTCAAATGACTGAGGAGAGAGAGAAAAGGAACTATACATGTAGAAGTTCACCTAAGCCAAACAGAAAGGGGTGGAAGTGCAGTAGTACCACCTCATTCCATGTGGCAGCCCTAGAGAGGGGCCTAAGGCAATGGTTAGTGACACTAACAAATGTCAATCATAAAAATGTAAAAAATGGGGCACCAAACTTTGTCATGTGTGGTAGAATACCTGAGACAGGATGGTGATTAGAGAAGCTGCATCTGACAGTACATTAACAATCTAAGGTTGGGTTGTGTATATGTAGTAGATACAATTAGAACACTCAGCCAAAGAGAAACATCTCTCAGTTCCTCTTCTCCCTTTAAATTCAGAGATTTGATCTTTAATTCATTGGAGAAGATTAGCAACCATCCTATGTGTACCTACTAAGCACCTGCCATGCAGAGTCTTATCTCATCCCAAGGCTTCCAGGAATCACCAGGATCCCTAGCGGGAGGCTCCTTCTATGCTGGGTCACCTGCTTTGCTCCCGCCACTGCAGACACCCACACTGCTGCAGACTCCGAGCCACAGCAAGGCTCAGAAGATCAAGGGACCAGTCGCAGCAGCCTTTTTAACTTTGGGAAAACCCAATGCTCACTTCACTCAAACGTCGCAAAGTGGTGCCATGACCCTTTAGCTCTTGGCTCACCAATTCAAAGAGCCACATCACATACAGCCCTTCAGCTGCCCACGGCATGATTCTGTGTCTAGTTCCTTTCCAGGTCCCCCCAAGCGGAAGACAGTTCTGGCAGGGAGTCCAGGCAAGATTACTATAATATTCAGCCTTTGTCCCTTCTTTTGCTATGTCTTATTATAGAATGAGGCACACAGGTCTTAGAGATTGTGCTTCAGTGTATGCTGGCCTTGAGACCTGTACCCAAAAGGTACCTGCAGGACCTCAGGTCTGCATAATCTAGCCCAGAAATCTCCATTTCAAAGATGAAGAAACTGAGGTTCAAAGAGAGTAAAGCAAAGTCACTTCCTCAGATAGCAGTGGAAGACCTGGTACAAACTTGACTCCAACATCATGCCTCCTGCCTTAGTAAATGTACAGACCACCTACGAGGAGGGGAAAACAGTAACACTGAAGCCAGTTTCCATCCCCTAATTAATGGCATAAGTGTGTGTATACACAACATACTTTGTGGTTGTCATCTGTAAAATGAAGGGAGACAGGATCAGATTGGTGTTTTCTGGTGCTCCTTTCAGTTCTGAAACTGTCATAAGTCTTGTTTAACTATGGGTATGTTAATATGTATGTACAGGTCATACATTGGAATATGGACATCATATACAGTAACGTTACAATTAACTAATGTTTCCACCACACATTTTGCCTCATCTCCCCAGCGACCATGTTTTCCTAATCGTAAACAAGGGCGAGATATGTGTTACCATTGCAGCTCCTGAGAATCACGAGTGTCCCCTAGGCTTCTCCTAATACCCACTGAAGAGCAAGAAGGAACAGGGGTCATGTACTTTACATATCAACTCATTAAATTCCTTGAAGGAAATGGCCAAACCAAAGCAGGGTTGGACTGTGGGGGACAGAACACACTTCAGGAAGCACAGTTAAAGGTGACAGACTGTGGCTGCTCGAATCTGGGGTCCCCCGCTGCCAGTGCACCCAATGGGCCGGGCATGCCATGCTCAGAACAAGCTTGGCTCCAAGCTCAGCTTTGAGGGCAGGAACCTACACGCCCAGTTTGCATATTCTACGCTAGCGCTTGTAAACGTGCAGTGGAAACTTGGCTCCAGTCCCCAAGAGCACGTGGCCCTAGCGGGCGTGGGGCTGAAAAGGAGCGGGTCGCTCCCGGAGCCCGCCCTACCCAGCGGCCGCAGCCCTGGCGGCCGGCGCTAGGACCCCGGGCGCCCCGCGCACTTCCTCCCGCGGCGGTCCGCGCCGCCCGCTCCCGCCCGCCGCCGCCGCCTACCTGGCGAAGCAGTACTCGCAGTGGTTGCCCCGCTCATTGACCGTGAGCACGTAGGCGTAAGCCGGGCAGGAGAAGAGCAAGTCCCCCACCTGGAAGGGCTGCAGGGCCCGCAGCCCCCTGCCCTTACCCGGGCTGCAGAACCGCTCCAGGCCGCCGTGGCCCTCGGCCCTCATGGTGGCAGCGGGCAGGCGGGCGGGCGCGCGCGAAGGGGCGCCGGCGCCGCTGTGCCCGGGCTGCGGCTCCCCGCGAGCTGTTATTGGAGACGCGTCACCCTGAGCTGCGGGGGGCGGGGTGGGAAGCCGCCGAGACGCCGCGGCCGCCCGCGCCCCGGAAGGGACGGCGTCCCCGCCCGGGCCTCGCGCGCCCCGGGGGAGGGGCAGCCTCGGCGCCCGCCCCCCCCGCCCCGCGCGGACCCCCGGTCCCGCCCGCACGCGCCCCGCCGCTTCCGGTGCAGCCGACCTCCGCTGCCGAGCGAGGGCGGGAGGCGGGTGCGCCCCGGCGGCGACCCCCAGCCGGCCACGGGCGGCGAGGTCGAGTGGGCCAGGGCAGGTGTCCCGGAGCTCCGCTGCGACGTCGGCCCGGCCCAACGGATGCCGCGCGCCTGGCAGCTAGAAGGGGGCCCAGACCGTTCTCCACACTGTTCTCAGGTCTTTGTTTAAGACCGTGGGGGGACTGCTCCCGGAGCCCCGAGGAGAAACTGGCAAAGGGGAAACAGTGGAAAAGTTTGGAATGCCGAGGGAGCAAGACGGCTTTCCCAAGGTTTTTAACCCGTGTGAGGCCTTAAGGGGAGCGGGGTTGGCCCTCTGCCCCTCTAGTGGAAGTTAGTTGTCTGGACGGAAGAGGAAGTGCGCTGCTCAGCCCACTCTCTGAACGCTGCAGAGGAAGCAGGAGATAACCTTGCCTTCAAGGAACTTGGACTCTTGTTGGGGCCAGTAGCATGGTGGCCAGAATACTGCACTAAAACTTGCTGTGGTTGTGGTGAGCCTGACCTCCCACCAGCTGTGATCTTAGAAAGGCCATTTAGGTTACCAGTCACAGAGGATTTAAAACACCATAAAAAGCTGGTGAACAGTGCCTAGCATATAAGTCCTTTACACAGGCATGCTGTTATTCATATGGGAAAGAATACAGTATTCCACATAGCCATAAAGGCTGAGATTAATGTGCGTGTTGTTTTTTTTTTAAAGTGTGGAGAGATGATATAGCAGAAGACACTACAAACTATGATCTCAAACTGTGATGTACCTTTAAGTTCATAATTAATCTAGAAAAGGAAAAGAATATGATTTGGAGTGTATCATATGATCAGTAGAATTTGGGGCACACCAATAAAATTCCTTTTATTAATGACAAAGGCCTCTAGCCCTCCTTCGTGAAGTGAAAAAGAGTGGATATGAATTAATTTATGCATTTTTAAAAGCATTGACTGACTTATGGACCAATCATTGAGAAAGAAGGAAGGACCAAAATAGCACCGGACCTTGTATCTGATACACTCAAAGCCAATAATAATTACCATTAGTTATTGAGCATAGGAGCCAGGCATTAAGCACATTTCAGTAATCCTTACAACAGTGAGTTAGGTCTTATTAATGTCTCCCACTTCCAACATTAGAAAACTAAGACTCAGACATGATTTCTAAAAATTGCTTACAATAAATTGATTTCAAATTCATTCTGAATTTGAGGCCATCCTCCTAACCACAATGTTTTTACAAACACAATTCATTGGTACAAGTATTATTACAGTAGCTGTACTAAGTGTTCTATGAAAATACAGGCAGTGGGTGGCAAATTAAGCCTAGAGAATGTTCAAGAGTGCACTATATTCAAGTAACATTTATTTGACCTGAGCCTGAGGAATGGACAGTACTCTGCAAGTGGAGGAGGAGAGATGAATGTTCTGGGCAGAGAGAAGTGCATTCAAAGACAGGAACCTGAAAGAACAAAGTGTGTAGTGGGGCCTACTGAGCAGTTCTGAATAGAGAATAGGTTCTCAAGAGGACAGAGGTGAGGTAAGAACAGTGGAAAGGCATCTTCTCCAGAGGTGAGTTTCATCCTAGAGGACACATGGAGCCATTGAAAGTGCTTGAATGGAATGTTAACACAACCAATCCAGTGTTTTAGTCTGATTTCTGCTACCAGCATTGCAGCATAGAAGGGGAGAGACTGAAACACAGGACCACCATTTAAAGTCTTATGCAAAATTCCATTGGTTTGAAGAAGCATGGCCTATATAAAAGACTAAGACATAAAAGGATTGGAACAGAGCTGGAAGGCGGGTGTTCAGTATTTTAGTTAGTTCTTCTTGGCCAAGTGCTATCGTTTGAATATAATTTGTCCCCACCAATACTCATGTTGAAATTTGACTCTCAATATGGTAGTATTGGGGGGCCTTTTGGGACATGCATAGGTCATGGGGTGCTGCCCTCAGGAATAGATTATGTCCCCTTCTGTGTGAGTTAGGTTTCTAAGGAATGTTTTAGTTCTTGAGCAAGCAAGTTCTTCTAAAGTGGACCTTTATAAGAACTGATGTACTTCCCTTGGTCTCTCTTGCCATATGCCCTCTCTTCCACATGTGCTGCCGGCCCTTCTGCTTTTCTGCCATATATGGAACAGGACATGACCCTCACCAGAACCTGAGCAAGATGTTGCTGCCATGCTCTTGGGCCTCTGGAACTATGAGCTAATTAAATCTTTAAAAAAAAAAAAAATCCAGTCTCATTTGTTTAGTGACAGTAACAGAACAGACTAACACCAGGCTGTAGGAGTTCATCTCTGCAATACAAAAACTCTGACAGGTTCCAGGCTACTATGCTAGATGGGCTTTACTCCAGTCACATTATCCAAGTCCATTGTGACAATTGTGTTTGTGTGTGTGTGTGTGTGTGTGTTTAATACCTTTATTTTATTTACTTGTTTATTTTTATGTGGCTGAGGATTGAACCCAGTGCCTCACACATGTGAGGCAAGAGCCTCTGAGCTACAGCCCCAGCCTCACCATTGTGTTTTCTTACTGGTGGATAGTATATACAAAGGAAAGAGTTTTCTCAAATCTTAGAAGCTTCTGAATAAACATCTACCTAGGAAAATCATGGATATATTTTTGGATGATAAAGTTGTTTTTTTTTTTTTTTAACATCCACTTTTCTGAAGGCTCTAACCAATCCAAAGATGAAAAATCTGACAGAAGTCAACAAACAACAGACATTTTTACTATAGTAGAAAATTTACTGTTTCAGGGATTGAAAATTGTGCAAAGTAATCTGTTTGTTCATTTTTATTACACGTAGTTTGCCTCTTTCATTGGGACAGATTACAACAGCTGAGGGGGCAAAAAAAACAATAACACAGGGAGTTATCTTTCCAGGTGAGTAGTGGCTCCAACAGACTTAATCTTGTGGGTGGATGGAGGTGACCGTCATATGAGAACACTGGAAAAGAAGCAGCCTCATTTCAGAAAAATCCCTGTGCTGAACTTAAGTGACTTTACCTGGGAATGGTCAGTGAAGCAATAGCCATGACTTTAGGAGCTTAAATTACGAATAAAACTGTGTTTAAAATAAACAGCCAAGGAATGGCAACCAATCAGCAGGGGCAACCGATGACAGCACTCTTCATGTAGCTCATACTTATCACTGCCACCCTGCATTCTTACATTCCGTGAAAGAAGCCATGGTGCTGCCAGGACCCAGCCACATTTTCCACTCCCAGCTTCGCATGGCTTGGAGAGGAGTTTGACATTACTTTGCCTGAAATGCTGGAGAAGTGGTACCAGGATGAAGGCCCCCTTTGCTTGATTTCTCCAGCCTGGAAGTTGATCTAATTCATGAGTAAAACATCCTTCCAAACAGGGATTAGCACATGAAAGAAATAGCTCTGGCTCAGGGAAATGAAGTCTTAGCAAAGAAGGAATACCAATGAACACAGATAGGGGACCTCTACCCATGCTGCTGGGCCTCTGCATGCCTTTCATTTATTGAGTACATTTTGTGTACTTCCACACTATGATGGACCCTAGTCATATAATGGTAAAAAGATCAATGTGCATGTGAATAGTTATGAAGTAGCTAAATAAGGTGCTCAAAGATACTAGGTCCTTATCCATGGAACCTGTAAACATTACCTTATATGATTTTTAAATGATTTTACAGATGTATTAAATTAAGGATTGGAAATAGAGGATCCTGGACTATCCAGGTGGGCCCTCAATGTAGTCAGGAGGATCTTCATGGGAGAGGAAGAAGGAGATTGAACATGGACAGAAGAGGAGGAAGCAACATGACTACAGAGGCAGAGATTGGATTGGTGTGGCTATAAGCCAAAGGATTCCAGAAGCTGGAAGAGACAAGGATATTCCCCCTGGAGCCTCTGGAAACCCTGCTGACAACTCGATTTCAGCTCAGCGATGCTGAGTTTAGACTTCTGGCCTCCGGAACTGTGAGAGGATACATTTCTGATGTTCTAAGCTGACCTGTTTGTGGTAATTTGTCATAGCAGCCACAGAAAACTAATACAATTTATAAAACAATAAAATTTTAATACAGGGTTGAACAAAGTACCATTGAAAGCTTCGTTATGTACCTGACATGCCAGCTGTTTCTGAAGGAAAAAAAAAAACTGAACAGAGCAAAGAGGCCTCCCCAAATGGATTAAAGACATTAAAGGTGCAAAGTCACTGGGATAGGAGATAATTTGACAATCTAGGGAACGGTTTTCTTTTATTTAACAAATGTTTACGGAGCTCTGGCAGTGTAGCAGGTGCGCCTTTGAAATCTATTCTCATTTAATCCTCCTAAATCATGTGTCCAAGCAAAGCCAGTTGTCTGGTAATGACTCCATGCCCTGGACCATGCCACTGTGCTGCCTCCCTGTTCAGCCAGAGCCACAACCCTGGGTCAGGGATGTCTGATGCGGAGTGGCCCTGTGCTGAAGTCATGTGCTTAGCAGTTTGATCACACGATGTAAGCACCATGGAGTCAGAGAAGAATTTTGTCAGACATGATCAGATTTTTCCTTTAGAAAGGTTGTTTGCATAGCTGAATAGAGAACAATTTATAAGGGGCTGAGAGGAAAGAGAGAAAGAACTAAGGAATGCTATGCAATAGTGGTTCAGGGAGAAATGATACTGGTGTGAGCAGGACAGTGATAGTAAGGAGGAAGAAGAGAAAGGAGAGGGGGGAATGTGAGCCATGGATACCATGTCTGAGGGACTTTAGGGTTTAGCTCAGGGGCAGAGTGCTTGCCTAGCATGTCTTGATCTTGGACTTCCCAGCTTCTAGAACTGTGAGCAATAACTGATATTTAGTTATAGCAGCCAGAATAGACTAAGACACCACTCAAGAG